TGTGGCAGTGTAGGTATAGTGCCATGCATAAATAAGAAAAATTCGGAATTTATCGAGAGAACGTCGACGTTTCGAGCGAAAGCCTTTCGTCACAAGCGTTATTCTCTTTAACAGTCTAGGTAGCTTTCTACTATAAACTAGACTTAGACTTGTGAGCTGCCGTGTTTTATAAATAAATATATATGTACTTACAACCCTGGCTATAAATCACGTAATTACGACGAAAATGACTTCAACCTTATCATCAAACATAATCAAGATTACTTCAAAAACTCTTAAGTTACTAGATCAGCAAAACCACAGGCAAAACTTGTACTTTAAATTATATCATAGCAAATCGATAACATACAAACTTACTATCCGCGTTGAGCTAATATTAAGTTTCTGTGTACTATAAAATGTTTGTATTGTTTGCAAATATATAGTGATGTAAAGTTATAGGGACTTTCATAGTTTCATGGACTTTCTCGGAGTATGAGCAACCGATATATTTTCAGTTAGAATTAGGGTTAAATAATTTAAATTTACGATCAGGTCAAGTGTCAGGCCTTCATTTATTTATACACTGAGAAATTCGTGCTTAGTTATAAGGGGTCAGGTATATTAATTGGGACGAAAGTCCTGTTCCTCATCCCAGTCACGTAGTTTTCTTATAACATGTTATGTATATGAGTGTCAGTTTAAACATTTGTGACGAATTTCATCATTTGTGTCCGCCATCATAAGATACCATATACATTCGTCATTGATAGACTTACAATATAGAAATAATTTTTTCCTAGCGATTTAAAGCTACTATTAATTTCTGATAACTCTTTCAAGAAATTTTCTCGAAGATTTACTAACTTATCATTATTGCAACATGAAAAGTAATGGTATATATTCGTCCATAGTTAATCACATGAATCGAAACTCGTCCTGAAAAAACATTATAGTCATTAGTCATTAGACATTATTAGTCATTTATTCAGAGCGCTTCATATTGACATCCTGAAATAGATTTTACACCTTTAGTTTCTGCGGTTCTTTGAAACACCGAATCCTCAATATGAGCATATAAACAAATCGAATAGATCGTATATTATCATATATATAAATCATTACAATCATTTTACAAATAATTTCTCATTTCACAAATAAAGTCTACGAAGTCATATTCATTTTACCGACATTAATCACATTTTTTCTAAAATTTAAGTTTTCCGCTACTTGTGAACCCAAAATCCCTTTACATCCAAGCCAATATTTTGACTTCCTATATTGACCTCTAACGTTGCTATGTTAATATAATGGTATTTAATCATTAAGACATGATATTTATATCCTTATTAATGTACGGGCAGTGTGGTTATTGGGTACATTTATAGAAATATTTAAAGCCCCTGACCACCGGCTGTCTTCCTGTCCTAGTAAGGTATCACATAGCTTACATTATTTCGGCGTTAGAAAATCTCAAATTTTACTAAAATCTGGAATAGTCTCTCTACAGTCACAGCGGAAAGCCATTTGACCTCATTGCCAGGTAGGCGTGTAATGACGTCATGTATAGCGTTGTCATGGAATTTTTAATGAAACGATCATATGTGTAGGAGGACCAGCTGTCTTGTCACCGGAAACGTCACTAAAAATACTCCAACGTGTTGATTGAATTTTAACGGCTTGTAGGAATAAATTGGTTCTGTACATTTTTATATGAATTTTTGAAGTCTTTCGGTAAATTGTTTCTGGAAGATTGTCTTTAATGTAATCGGTCTTTGCTTGTGAATGCCTAATGGGGTTTTTGTGTGTATATTATTCCCCAATTGGTTTATTTTTAGTATTTTAATTCTTCATTACTTTTGACAATTGTGCAGATTGCCCCATTGTATCGAAGACCGGTCTGTTTTCAAATGATCGAATATCTAATCCTTAAGCTTGTTGAAATATTTACAGTGTACGACCTTATCAACCTTATGAGTTATTTCACGTTTACACATTGTGATTTATCGAACCGAGGTGAGATTTTCTGCAATGATCAGCATTCGAGAAATGCGCGGTAGACGTCATCTCAAAAACCTCGCTAATTAACAATATTCGTCATTAACATTGAGCAAGAGATGAAATCATGAAATCATTATTGAACTTATCCACTGATATCAGTGAACTTATCCAACCCCTACACACTCTGACGTCATTTGCCATACAATAGTAATCACGTATTTATAATGACTGTGCCTTTCAATTGTTTGTGAATGAATGATGAACGAGTTAGTTAACTAGTTAGTTTGTTAGCTTGTTAGTTTGTTAGTTTGTTAGTTTGTTAGTTTGTTAGTTTGTTAGTTAGTTAGTTACTGCTAGTTAGTTAGTTAGTTACTGCTAGTTAGTTACTGCTAGTTAGCTAAGTTAGTCAGCTGACTCAGCTAGTGAGTTAGTTTCTGCTGCTATCTTGTAAATCTGCAGCATAGTAGCATAGGAAAGACTCCGTCAACTGGGCACTCAAAAGTTCAAAACTCTTATTAAACAAAAATAGAGCTTGTCAGGGACGCCGGAACGATCATAAGGCAAAGGGGGGCGGACCCACAGCAAGGGCACTTCTCTAAAGCAAAACTTCAAAATCGCCAAAAAAAATTCGGTCAGTGTACCATTTTAGGGGTCAAAAATTTTTTCCGGACATACCATAAGTGAAATATTAACTGTATAATTGTCTGAATCTCATCATTTTCGGACAAAAACCATTTTTCTAAATGTGATTTATCACGTATTTTTTTAAAACTAAAAGGGCACTTCTGCCCCCCCCCTGCCCCCCTAGCAAAAGGCAGGGGGGGGGGCAGCCGCCCCCCCTGCCCCCCCAGTTCCGGCGTCCCTGGAGCTTGTTACCGAAATTAAATAGATGGCCGTATTCTAGAGAGATAGCCCAAGAGCCGTTAAGGAATTGAAGATATTTATCAAAATATTCCCATCGATACGAACATGTTTTGAAATTTTATCGATTACGCTCACGATAAAATCTTAGGTTCACGCTTCATTTTCGCCCCGTTTATGACGTCAGACGTTCCCAGGGCATGTATGTCACAGCTGATGATTGGGTCATTGACGTCATTGTTACTACATACACAGGATGTTTGGAAGCACTCTTCTCTCGGGAATCGAACCCTGTGCGCAAAGGTTCTGTCACCTGTAAACGCTGTCTTAGATCAGCCATTTTTGCGAGAGTTTTTATCAAATAGACCTCATTTGCGTTAGTTCTTTTTAAGGCAAATACTGAAATAGATTTTTGTTGTAAGGGAACGGCTTATTCTGAGGGTCCTGAAGGGGGGGGGGGGTCCCAATCCCATTTCCCACCTGAAATTTTGGCAAAATCCCAGTCCCAGTTGGATTTTTATTAGAAATCCCAGTCCGAGTTATTGAAATCCCAGTCAATAAAAAAACCTTTATTTATGGGTAGAATGAACAGTTTTAAGACCTTTTAAGCCACCGTACGCGTGTGTGCAAGTGGCGGACACTTTATGAAGTATTGGGGAGGGGGTTCGTGCCGAAGGCACGGCAAATTTTTAAATTTCAATCCCGGAAATGGCATTTGCAGCATTCTGAGACACGCATAATCAGAAAACCCAGAATTCCGGGTGCCAGAGTATGCATGTTCGCAGGTAGTACTGTGAATAATATAGTTAACAACAAAAATCATGACCAAAGACACCAAAAACGGATCAAAATTGTATTTTAAAGTACTTAAAACGTAGAAAAATTGGGAATCGACTCGCATTACCTCATTCCCATTTTTGAGGACTTCATTTCCCATTCCCAGTGGCCAAATCCCAGTCCCAGCAACCCAAATCCATTTCCCCAGTCTAAAAATAGAACAATCCCAGTTCCCATTTTACCCCTTCAGGGCCCTCTATTCTGTCCGTGACTGAAACAAAGGCAATAAAGTTTCTGATAATGTTTTTACTGCAATTGAAATCATTGCTAGCAATTATGTACCTTGGGTGCCAGAGAGAGGCCGCCGGTTATCATCATAATTTGGAAACGAAGGTAGTAATTATCAGACACATCCCCTCTGGTGATCAAGGCAGGCAATTGCAACTGACTGAGCTGTGTTTTGCCTATGTTTTGCCCAAGCCAACAGCATAACACCAGGACACAAAAAATTCAACATCCCCATGGCCATTTTTTGCCCTTACTTTTACCCAAGACTTTTATTTTATTCTAATTTATTGGCCAATCGAATCTTGGAAAATCCCATTGTAACAAATTTTGCTACTTTTCACAAATGGAACATTAAAAATAAAAAAACGTGTACAGTATTCCTGAAATCACAAAATAGGCTGAAATGAAGACAAATTGTTGAGAAAACTCTACAATTGAAAGGAAAACAATATGAAGAATCGTTTACGAGCATGTCTTTGTGTTTTTGTCGAGTTTTCAAGTGGTCGTTTCCATCAGAAAGCTGACAAATTATACTAAGAAGAGCGTGTTTTGTTTAGAGGAATATAACAGGAACAGCTTTCCATAATCATTCGCCCACTGTTTTTCTTTGTAGGCAGTAGAAAGTGCTGGGTTTTTCCAGCTAGGAACCCCTAAACGTAGGCCTTTTTCTTTTCAGTTCGCCTGCCGTGAACGGGGTTAGACAAGATCGAATGGGGGCCATTCGCTTTTAATTTTAGTTGTGTCATTTGAGTGTTTCAAAACGTGCAATATGGCCCTTTGTTTTTAATGTTTTCGCCATATATGGGTTACCTTATTGACATGATAATCTCGGGTTTTATCAAAATAGCCGTAGGAGGGGTCTGACGTCACAGTACAATGTATGAAAGAAGGAACACATGATTGGCAATCCATAGAGACGGTCTCCTATTGGTCGCCTTTGCCCTTAATTGTTTACTCGTTTCCGGAGACCTACCAATCACGTTCGAGAATAGCAGACATAAATACACAGTGTGATTCGGGAAGCCCCACTCACTTTGTAGTATTTTGGTCGTAAGGCGAAGAAATTCAACAAATCTCAAGAAAAAATCATAGCAATGCTTTTAGAAATACAAATCGCGGTTAGTTTTCTAACGTCGTATTTATACAACAAACTCCCGAGGCGAAGAGTTGATTTATTTAGCGTCGAATTGGCGAAGCAATTAAAAGAGAAATTCGAAGGCCATTGGTATCCACAGCGTCCTTCGAAAGGAAGTGGTTATCGATGTTTATTGATCGGAGAAGAATTAGACCCCGTTCTGATGAACGCTGCTAACGACAGTGGATTAAGCTTAGAAGAAGTCCGAAGTAGTTTACCAGAAAAATTAAATATGTGGATTGATCCTGATGAAGTTTCCTATAGAATAGGTAAGCCTCTAGTTAATAGTAAAATTTTTAGTTTGTAGTACCTTGTGCCTTTTGATTTGAGCTTTGTTTTGTGTCGTCCAGAAATTTAGTGTAAACCTTTGCGCTTCTACAGAATTATATACATCATTGGGAAGCCAAGTAAATGCTTGGTTTCTTTGGGCATTGTATTCTCAAGAATTATTTGGGCCTTTCCTCAGCCTCGTGCTATATGTATACTATAAATTCATGACAAAGCGAAAGTAAGCAATTTGTACACTTGTATATAAACTAGTCCCATATTTTTACTGAAACTTAGCCAGAGCCCGTTTGTTTTGTTATACTAGCTTGTACTATTTTATGACCAACATTACAAAGGCTTTCTTAGTCGAATAGAAGTAATTTTGGTGAAATAGAAAAATCTTGAAAGGTCATCATATTTTTTCTTGGGCATTCCCCTCTGACTATACAAATGTGTTTGGGTAAGTCTTGAAAATATTTGGTCAGAAGCCAGATTTCGGATATAAAAAACATCCGAAAAACATAGATCTATTATTTTATGTAATTTGGTAGGAAAGCGTTTCAATAAATATATTGTTTTTACGTATTTTTCTAGAAGATCAATTGGTCGTGAAAGTGATTTATCAGAAAGACAAATATGGCGAATTGGAGAACCTAGCCGAGCTGGAAGGCTTTAATACTCAACAAATTTACACTGGTTCTTCGTCGAGTCCAAGCAGAACACATTCAAAAGAAGTAGAACCAATGTACAACCGTTCACCTATCCAAACGTCGCCGCTACAAGTTTCGCCATTATCCATGCTTTCAAATCAAACAAACTATTCTCTCTGGAGTACTCACGAGGAAAGTGTCCTCGCGGACACTCCTGTGGACAGTCGACTTTCGCCAAACGCACAAGAATTCAGATATCCTGTAACCAAACAACAAACACTACCTTCGCCTACGAACATTTTATACCAAAACGATTCAGGATATAGCGAATATCCAAGCTATATGTGGTCAAGTTTAACCGAGCCTGTCGAACGAAGACAAGGTTACGCTTCGCTTCAATCCTTCTATTCGAATTGGTTGGATAACTCGAACTCATACAAACGAAATTACAACACTTCACAACTGGAAATTATGGCTTAAAGCGTATTTGAAGCGGGACTATAATTTCACTGTTCTGATAGGACTATAAAATTACAATCGGACCCAAGAAACATTCTAGTTTTTTAAATATTTTTCGCCTCGTGCAAGCGTTGTTTGGTTTGGTTCCTTTACAAAGGATTTGAGATTTTGTTGTTTGAAATTTACCGTGTACAAAGTGTTGTTAAACTGTATATATACTTTACTATGACACCATTGTGTAAATGTAAGATAGTTTCGAAAACATTAAGTTATTATTTGACCGAGTTCTATGCGGTAGCTCGGTCTGTGCGGATTTAATATTCACAATTCTCTGTTGTTGTTCTACATTTAAAGGGAACACGGCTGTCATTAATCACTTTTGACAGGCTATTTTAATAAACTAGTGAAATTGTACTGTACAAATGACTATACTGCATGGCAGCAAAAGGAACACTGAGGTTGTCTTTCATTCGTGTGAATTTGTAAAAGAAAATTGTGTAAAATAAAGCATTAAAAATACTTGTGAGTTGATTTGACGCGCTTCACAGGGGTGCTTAAAAGAATGGGCGATCTCATGCTTGCGTAAGCACAAATATGATATAGTATACTCAGACTGATATAATTATTTTAATCACACACTGTAACGAGAAATAGTTACTGTAAGTTGGTATTAAATACAACTTGTGCATGCTAAATTTTCGCTTCTCAAAATTTAAAAAGTTCAATAGTTCGCTTGGCAAAGTTCACCGCCATAATTTTGAAACAAAAAGTCATGTGTAAATTGTTCAAAGAATGAACATTTTCTCAACTCTGATACAAACTGCTGGTTGACAGCAAGGTTGACAGCAAAGTTGCCACCATGTGTGAGTGTGACACCGCGATGTGTGCTTAGCGAAACCCATCCATTTGAAAAACTAAATAAAGCAAGTGCCTAGTGGTGACCCATGTTCCTGGGCACTTAGCCAAGCAGGAATTGGTGGTTTATATTGTGGTTGCTACCTGGCCAAGAGCCAAGAGTTGAATGCTATTATAAAGAAGCCATTTTGTGTCTTAGGAAGAGTTTTTCTAAGGGTTTCAAGCATCAACAGCTATGTTAAAAATCTGAACTAAATGTTTTAGTCATAGGCGTAGCTAGGATTTTTGGTCAGGGGGGGCAGCAAAAACCCAGGTGGGGCCAAGGAAAAAATTTTCCGGACAACAACGTTTGAAATATTCCCCCTTCCTGTCAACAACTTTTTTGGTAATAAAATTTTCCAGACGATATATAACATTACAATTGCTTTCGTACCCTGGCCCAGAGGTTTTTTAGGTTTGGCGAACGTGAAATGCGAGAAAACACCCTCTGGCTCCAGGGTATTGCTTTCGTAGCACTTTTCCCAATTTCCGTAGCACTTTTCCCGATGCTTCACCATGAAGATTCCGACAACATTGACAATTTTCCGACGGGTCTCAACAATAGGGGGGGGGGGATTGCCCCCCGGCTACGGCACCACTGCACATGATTTTTCACCAAGCCCGTGTTAAAACTTCACTGGTAAAAAAACAGATTGGTTTAAACTTCATCTAAGCCTCATTTAATACATATTGAAATAATTAATTAGGGTTAGAAAAGGTATGTGTTTCAAGCTGTGTGCCGCAAATAAGCTAACAAGAATTCTACAGAATTTTGGCATTATTGACGGCATGAAGCTATATAATCAAGGATTCCCTTTTTTATACAATACATTTTATCAGGGGGGCCCAAAATTTTGCCAGGGGGCCCCAGCCCTGGCTATGCCTCTGGTTTTAGAAATTTTTGGTGAAAACTGGCTTCAAGCAAGCCCTCGTGCATTGCGCCCTGGTCACTATTTTTATATTCTGGAATCTGGATCCATCCCTCGGTTTCCAAGGATAAAAGGGGATTAAGATGGATCGAAAAAATGTAAATCCCTCACAATCCCTAATCATCCCTATATTGCAACAATGAACCAAATTTCACCCTATTTATCCTATGTTTATAGTCCAAGGATCAATATTTAAAATATTTTTGTTGAATTATTGTGTTTTTGCTTTGATATTTTTTAAGTTAAAATTATGGTTTAGCTTTACTTTTTTCTTTTAAATGAAGTTTGCACCATGAAGAAAGATGTGCGTATATTGCTAGTAGGGGAAGGTAAAAGCAGATTATTTAGTATTTATTTAATTATTTTCAAAGTATATATTAATTGTATGTTTGTCACTTTGACCTGTAAACACAATGTTCAAGTGAAATACATGTAATAAATTTTCGAAATATTTTGGAAGCTTAAAAAATTCGTAAGATTTAAACATGTAGCCAAAGCTATTTAATTCTTTAGTCACTTCATTAATAATTTGTATGTAATTTCAAGCCCAGCAAATCGGTGTATATTGTTTTTAATAAATTGTCAGGTTTATTATAAACCTATGCAAACAATTGTCTAATAATTTGCCCGTATTCTGTCGCATCTAAGGGCCTGTGTACACGATTAAATTTGTTGTACATTAGTTGTCATTCTGGTGTATGAAAATTTATACTACTGACACCACAATTCCTTTTTAATTAATAATATAGTTTTTGGTTAACTTGTGTTTATTTTATCACAATTGCCTATTGAACTCCCCTATGCTCTTCAGATGTCCTAATACACTATAGCAGAAATACATTCCCCCTCCCTGTCTGGATGGCAGAAATTTCCTCCTTGGGGTAGTGTGGATATTTTTTGGAATAACTCAACTACCAAAGTTTCCACAGTGGTATACTCTCCAAATAAGGCTCTAATTTGCAATGTTTGTTACTCTAGAGGAAGTTGGCAAAACGTCGTTAATTTTGTCGTTAGTCAGCGAGGAGTTTCCTGAGGATGTATGTAGCTTATTGTGTTCATTTCAAATTGAAGTATGAAGGATCAGATTTGGCTTCCACAACTGCCACCAATAACCATCCATGAACCAATCAGATGTGTTTAATCTATCTGATTAACCAATCACATGCATACTTTAGTCAGTAACAGGTAGCGGTAGTGGAAATCAAATCTTCCACCTTAACATGTGCATTAGTAAATTTAATTATGTATTCACTGATATTAATTAAAGACCATGTCAAGTCCAAAATGTAAACAAATCCTCTGTTTATATTTTGAACTGCTATATTTGTAAAATAAGCCCATACTAAAGTTCTGAATAGCTAACACTTTTCTGGTTTGCTATTGTAAATGAATATAAACTAGAGTACGTTTCAATTCAACAAAGTTCGAAAGATGGACAATTTGGGCAATGTTTATACCTGCAGGTCACCCTTTGTTATGAGCAGAACTTATGTGCAGAATGGACTTGACATGGTCTTTAATGATGTATTAACTGGTATTAAAATTAATTTCCCAGGTACCATGTTGTGCAGAGGAAATAACAATTCCTGCAGATGTAACGCCAGAAAAGATCCCAACTCACATTGTTGATTATTCTGGTATGGAGATGTTTTAAATTACCATATGTGATAAGGCCAGGGTCTTAGCTAGAGGGCCGTGTTGGCCGTGTTATCGCGGCCAAAAATGGAAAAATACGGCTAGATAAAATAAACACGGCTTCATTATTTATATAAGGCCGTGTAAGTTCATAAAATAAGGTGTTACTGCTTACAACAGACAGAATTTCTTCCTATATACGTCATAAGAAAGTTTGTAAAATCTACTGTAGTTGTTGAAATTGGCAAAACTGATCCGTGGTGTTTTAATGTTTTGATGGGTAATATGGGAACCTTATGATGTTAAAATGGTTTTAAATACACCCCCAATATTCTGGGCCCGAGAGTTGCTGAAATAACTTAATATTTTAATGTCAGTGTGCAATATGAGTGTATGCTCGCCTTGTATTTGGTTGCAAAGCATAGAACAACCACACGCATTGTCTGTTGTTGGCGAGCATAACTAGAACTGTGAATTTGGCCATTCAAGGTAATTGACATGTGCACACCCTGGTCATTTTGAAACACGCCCAAGATCTAAAATCCTAGCTAAGACCCTGGATAAGGCTGTCTGTTCGAGAGGGACGTTTATTCGACGATTAGATAAGGCCGTCTGTTAGAGAGGGACGTTTATTCTTACAAAATGGCAGTTTTAGCTGAACAAAAGTCCAAACTTTTTAAGTTCCATACATACATTCTTGATTTCCAGGTTTGGAGCAAACACCAGAAGTACTTGAAGAGGAAATAGATAAGGTTTGATTTTGTGATTTACCCATGACTAGGCTTGACTGGTTTTATTTTAAAACCGTTTTTTTCGGTTTAGCTTTTAGAAAAACTGGAAAACCGTTATGTTACATAATTATGTACTACATCTACATATAATTAAGTCGGTAAAATCTACAAATGATATCACACCAACTATTTAAAACTAAAATATCTATAATGTACGGTATATAAAATTCTAAAAAAGTTCAAGTACATAGGATAAAATACATTAGTCCTGATTGTCAACTAGGTATTCTAATAGTTCAGACTTGAAAAGTTCAAAGGAATTTAACTCAGCGATCTCTGCTGGTAGACTATTCCAATGCCTTATAGTTCTAGGGAAAAAAGAATAAAAATACGTGTTCTTTGTGGCTTTGTCTTGTATATATCTATATTGATGGCTTGCGCGAGTTCTAAGTTCGGTGTTTGGATTCAGATGAGTGTCGGTGTCGACATCGATTTGCCCTCGGCTCATCTTATATAACAAGGCTAGCCGAGTCATTGTTCTTCTTAGCTCCAAGGTGGTCCATCCTAACTCGTGTAGCATGTCTGTGACACTGGCTGTGGGATGATAATTGTTGCTACTGTCATCGCCCGGCAATGTCACCGACTATGAAAATACTGATCACCCTTAAATTAAAACACTGATCACCCAAGCCTGAAAACAACTGTGCCTGAAAACAACTATGTAATAACAGAGTTTGACTTATTAATTAAAGTATAAACCTCCATTTACATGCTGAATTACTAATTTCAGTTTTATGTATCGATCAATTCGAAACTTCGCCATCCCCCCCCCCCGGGCCGACCCCGGGAATTTGAACTTTTTGAAATTTGACTGATCAAATTCTCCACCCTCTGTGCAAAAAATGTCTTCAAATGCCCCACTGTAACAAGAAATTAGGCGTTCAAATGCCCCACCTTCATATGAAAATTATGAAACAGTAAATACAAAAAGTACAAAATATACGGAAATGTTTCCGACAAGATAGCGAAATTCGCGTAAACAGTTTGGATACCTTGTGGAAATTTAACAGTTTTACACGTTATGTAGTACATACCTTCAAATGAAACACATAGATTTTCCATGCCCGTTTCTTTGAGCCAGTTTTTTCACAAAATTGAGGCCGTTTCCCTCGAAATCTGAGAAAACTGTATTTGCCGCCAATACGAAGTATTTTCTGTGCATACAGGAAGCACGCGAAAACGGGCAACATTTTAAGACTTCCGGTTCAAATTCCCCACCCCGTTATCAAATGCCCCACCACATGGAAGACTTAGAACGTCAAATTCCCTACTCCCTGGAGAAGACTTGAAGTCAAATTCCCGGGGTATGCCCGGGGGGGGGATGGTGAAGTTTCGAATTGATCGATACATTATATTGTATATTTTTTGTAAAGGCTGATGTCGTGTGCATTGTTTATGATGTAACGAGACCTGACACGATTGAGAAGGTGTGTTCAAATCCTTTGAAATAAAATGAAAAGAATGTACATTTTTAACAGTATAGCTAAAGTTGGTGATGGTAGGATAGAGTGCACTCTCCCCTGCCTCCTCCAGAGTATATTCTTTGAAATATAATATGAAGTAGATGTATTCTTGATGACAAGCAAGAATGAGCCTGGATTCCCCCCTACCAAGGCTGGCACCAAATATGTTCTGTTGACGTTTGTACTAGATTGAGAGCTACTGGATTCCTTTGATCTTGACATCTGTGGATGATGAAGGTACACCACAAAGTAAACCTATAATACTGGTTGGAAATAAGGTAGGCTGTCGCATTTAAGCTAGCCTGAAAACAGACCTGCGTTTCGCCTGCCTCAAAATTTGCAGGTCGACGGAAAGGGCAATACGTTTCGCCCTTTTCCCGTCGACCCGCAAATTTTAGGGTGGGGGAAACATACGTCTGTTTTCAGGCCACATTCCAGGAGCAGTTGTGAAAAATGTGTTGAGTCGGTTAGAGAGCTGCACCAAAATTGCAGGGCTGCAGGTTCAATTCCTGTCAGAGGGCCTATAATTGCATTTTTTCACAACTGCCCTGGGTTAGATCTAATAAATGTATATTATAATTTACACTTGATGGTATATTCAACATTTTACAGAGATATCTTTTTTCTATCATTCACAGAGTGATCTCTCTGAGCAGAGTACAATGGATGTAAGTTATACAGTGTCATTATTTCTGTACTATTTGCAGTTTAGACCAGCACATATGGTGTTGCAGTCACCATGCTTGCCTTTCAAGCTGGGAGACCCGGGTTCAATCCTTGGTCGGGTTGTAACACACACCCCCCCCAGACATTCCAACCACTGGAGGTAAAATTTAGGGAGACTGTTCAGTGAATTGAAATCTAGTTCTTCTGGGAAAAAATAATAAAAATTAAGTCTTCTGAAATGGCGTTTCCTGCATTTTGGGACTATGTTGTTTTAAGTGATCCTATAAATTGCCATGAAGCAACTTCAAAAAAGGTCAAGACAGACTATTATATATGCTAAAAACAGTATATTTATAATTTTTTATGATATTTCCTGAATATTCTGAAAAATCGGGAGAATTTGATAAAAATCGGGAGACCGGGAGATTGCATGAATTTTCGGGAGACTCCCAGTAAAATCGGGAGAGTTGGAATGTCTGCCGCCCCAATAATTCAAACGTTGGTCAAAGTTGGTCAAAATGGAACTGGTATTTGCTCAAAGTTGGTCAAAATGGAACTGGTATTTGCTCAAAGTTGGTCAAAATGGAACTGATATTTGCTTAAAATTTAATGTCGAAGAGTTGGAAAATTGTGGTGAAAAATGGACCATTTGCATTATAGACTAAATTTTGATCTAGACAAGTTTAGTCAAACATTTCATCACAGCTTGAAAGAGCATCACAAAATTAGTAATATTCCAAAGTTTTGTTGCGAAATGTTGTAAAATGCGGATAATATATAGCCCTGCGAAGTTTGCCATTTTTCGTATTACGCACAGGAAATTGACAGTCCAATCAGGTGTTGCGGCATCATTTTCCTGTTTGTAATACAAAATGACTGAAAATTGCAAATTTAGCAAGGTATATTATCTGCATTTTACAACATTTCGCAACAAAACTTTGGAATATTACTAATTTTGTGATGCTCTTTCAAGTTGTGATGAAATGTTTGTCTAGACCAAAATTTAGTCAATAATGCAAATGGTCCATTGGCAAGTCTTGCTTATTTTGCTTGAAAATGTTTTAAATATGCGTAACCCCCCTCCCCGTCGACAACATTTCCCGGAAAAAGTTTTACGACTTGGTCAAAATTCTATTAAATATTGGTCAGAACATGACAATACCCCCTTCCCGCCCCCCCCCCCCCAATGTTAATGCCTTAGCGACGTCCCTGTCAGTAAATGGTTAGACTTTCGCGTCTTCTCGGTTAAGGATCAATTGGCACGGCAATAGCCTGTTGGGAAGTCCGCTCACCAATGAGTGAGAAAGTCAATAAACTCAATTAAATGTTTCTATAATTTAGACTCTGGTAACAATAATGAGCAGATATTCTCAAGTCAAAACTTGTATCGAGGTATGAATGATACTAGGTACATTACAGTGCAGTGTTCACTCTGAGAAAACCTTTCTCTGTCTAATATGTTAAAAGTAATTATGAATTTATTGTGTGTTGATAAATATATTTTAAACTTATTTCAGTGTTCAGCAAAACTGGTCAAGAATATCTCTGAGATGTTTTTCTATGCTCAGAAGGCAGTTCTTTATCCTGAAGATCCTTTATATTCACAAGATACAAAGGAGGTTTTCTATCTATATAATCTCTATATTAGATGTAGATGTCGAATACACAACAATCGTTGTAGTGTTTGCAATTGAGCTGCAGCCAAGTCAGTACAAAGTTTGTCTCAATTTGCCTCTTATTATATACACTTGGCCTATCATTTCAACCTATAACTTAGCAGGGTCTGAAATTTGCAGTATCCCGATATCCACAAGATACTAAAATTTGGTTTTGGATACCGAACTGTGAATGACTTATAACCCAACTGGATACTAAGAAAATTTCAAACATTAGGAAAATGTTAAGCATCTTTGATTAGCATTTGAATACTACATGTACAGTATGCATGAGTTTGCCACCCAACACTTTCATCATATTATGTGCATTTTTGTATATTAACCCTTTGAGTGGCAATGGACCCTGATGTACCCTACTTTAGTATTTTACTCTGTCTAACGCCAGACGATTTTACTCGTCAAGTGGAGAGTGCTGCCACTCAATGGGTTAATGAATTGACTAGTTGTTGACTGTTGAATCTCCTGTTGTTATTGTAATTTGTAACAGCGAGAGTTATTGGACGGGACAGGGTATAATACTTGAATTTTATCGCGGCAATTGCCGTAGAGGGAGAACAAAATGCCGTGGATCATTGCGGCAACGACGGCAATTTTTTGCCGTATAGTGCAATTTTTATACTATTCACTGTGCATTACTATTTTGATACTTGAATTCAGATGTTGATCAAATCATGCGTAAATCACTATTTTAGTCTCAGTTTTCTTCGAAAAAAAAACACTAAAGAAAAATACGTAGACATGTTTCTAGCTTGTCAACAATCCAAAGTCACAATAAAATTAAAGTTTTATTACAGTAATTTGAAAAATGCCGTGGAAACTACCAAAATTGCCGTAGACAGCTGTTACGTTCTACGGCAATTTTTAACGCCATTGCCGTCGATTGATTTAAGGGAAATTCGAGAGGCCTGACTTATAGTAATCAGGATCCAGAAGTGGGGATACTGGATTCTCAGGGGGAATACTAAACGTTGAATCCTGGTATCCTAGTTGGATACTGAGAAAAAATTTTAATTTCAGATCCCGACTTAGCGTACTGTAACTGTTTAAAACAATGCATAGTTATATATGCGTACTAAAGATTTTCATCATATTACGTTTTTTTTTAGCTGACAGAACTTTGTACGAATGCCCTCACAAGAATATTCAAGGTAAATATTTATCTCGAAGTATTGCTGTACTACTGTAGATACGTAAAAACGCGCAAGTTGTAACAAACCTGCAGCAGATTTGTAGCAACGCTGTTCCAACAACTTGTCAACAGGATGTGTTCGCACTGCTTGTTCCCAGCTTGTTGACAACTTGCTACAAGGTCGTTGAGCTTAACAGGCTTGTTAGAAGTTGTTCCAACAACTTGTTATCTCATCCTTCATGTCAACAATTTGTCAACAAGTTGTGAGTGACAACCTCGTTGCAACTTGATAAATTAACAGCATTGTTACAACTTGTTGACCAGCTTGTCGACAAGTTGTGAGATTTCTACGTGTGTAGTCTATCACTATTGTACTCTGTATACTAGTTTTTTATTCATATTTTTGTGTATTCTTACAAGATTTGTGATGTCGGAGGTGATGGAATATTGGATGACAAAGAACTCAACAATTTCCAGGTGAATGATGTTGAATTGGTATAGAAGAAGATCTTTCATGCATTTACAGAACAGTTCCATTTGAAACCTCGAAAACGTTGCTCTAAAACTGCGTTTATACCTGAGTGATTTTCCATTAGATAGTATATACTATAGCGAAAATCACCATTCAGTATTGAGTCGCTCAATTTCTTCTCTCCATTTTGTATAGTATCAATGTTTCAACTCACCGTTGGAAGAGGAAGAAGTTCTCGAAGTGAAGAATTGCGTGAGACGAAACACACACGATGGACTGAAGAATAATGGACTGACATTAACTGGTAAATTACGTCGACTTTCTAACTGGTATACTAAAGCCGGTTTTCCACTTCACCCGCCCGTACCGAAACGTATCAAAAACGTTTTTAAATTTCAAAATTTCGTGAATGTTGATTGGTTAGTACTTCCGTAGTACGCCAAAAAGTGGACTTGCGACGAACTTTTTATTTTGATACGCGAATACACCCGGAAGTACGTGGATTTATAAACCTCTTTTCAATCTGCGCATGCTCACCAGTACGTTTCGGTACGATACGAGCGAAGTGGAAAACCGGCTTAACATCGTTGAAGGGATTAGACGACCGGGCGTAATACAAATTAATACAAAATTTGCAAATGTCGCAGGGCTATATTTTCCGCATTTCACAACATTTCGCAACCAAACTTTGCAATTTTACTAATTTTAATGTGCTCTTTCTAGCTGTAGTGATGGATTTTGTTCTTGCCTACATCAAAATTTAGTCTACTAAATTGAGATGTCCATGTAACCGAACATTTTTAGTCGAGGGGTGACTATCATTGAGGGCGACTAAAACATTTTTTTAAATTTCAATCCCTGTTCATGAAGACGCTACGTTTCATCTCTAGGCTTTCTTTTCCTGCACAAGCTCTTCATGGAGCGAGGTCGCCATGAAACAACTTGGACAGTTTTAAGAAAGTTTGGTTATGGCGACGATCTTGATTTAAGAGAAGATTACTGCGATGCAGGGTAAGCAAAGAAGCGCAAAATTTGAGTTGATTTTGTGAAAAACATTTGTATTGATAATGATCTGGGCTTGTGGATTGCCATAACTAATAATGCCCTTCTATTTTCTTTCTGTTATGTTAAGGCTAGATATCCCTGCAAGCTCGACAACAGAGCTATCGGAATTAGGTCGTGATTTCTTTACAAGATTGTTTGAAAGATGTGACAGGGTATGTATTCTTTGACTGCATGCTAAGATCTAGACTACATAGTATATTACAACTTTGTGAAACTCATGACAAATTCATGGAGAAAATTCAGAAAAAATATTGTGTAATGAGGTGGTGTAGCATGCACACATACAAAACTCTCCAGATTTGCCTAAACTTTTTCCTCGATTCTCTCAGTTAAAATCTTTATTTTGAAAAATTGTTTCGAAACACGACAGTTTGTAGTAACTTTGAACTATAACAAGCTTTCATTGATATAGGAATGACTTAAATGATCTTTATTTTATTTCAGGATGAAGACAGTGCATTATCACCAGATGAATTAGAGGTTGATTTTACAAACTTTATTTTTTTACCTGCCTAATTTCAACATTACATAATTCATATTTGTTCATTTCGTACTGTAGGATTTATTCAGTCTATGTCCAACCATGCCTTGGGATAAAGAAGTACTAAGCTGTATCCAAACCAATGACAAAGGATGGATTACATTTGATAGTTACATCGCACTCTGGGTGTATGTATGCACTACCATTTTATACGTCTTGTACACACGTAAAAACACACAAGTTGTTACAGGTCTGCAAACAAGTTGAACTGAATTACAAATCTGTGTCGACAAGCTGATAACAAGTTGGGACAAGCTGATAATAACCTGAAAAAGCTTGATGGCATTATCAAACTTGTTACAAAGTTGTTCTAACAAGTCTGATACAGTCATGATATAACAAGAATGTTACAAGGTTGATCACACAAGGTTGTTATATCATGACTGTATTAGACTTGTTGGAACAACCTTGCGACAAGTCTGATAATATCAACAACATTGGTACCAGCTTGTTCCAAACTTGTTGACAATTTGGGACAAGCAGTGCGAACAGGCTTTACACGTGTATAGTACTGTGGTCTGTTTCAACTCGTTTCAACGGGGCGTTATGTTTTCATGTAGGTTGACAACGTATCTTGACAGTAACAGAGTGTTCACATGGTTGTCTTATTTTGGTTACACCCATGGTGAACTGGAAAGCCAACTGTCTACCGCTGTTACAGGTACATGATTATGATTACGATTACGATTACGATTATTCAGCTCACACCCCATCGGGGCTTTTCAGTGACCGATTACATCAAGTATTACGCTTACTTATGTTACTTACACGCGTAAAAATCATCATGTTGATGCAAGTTGTTCAAAACAGGAGCGAACAATGTTGTGCTGCACCCTGTGAACAATATTGTTAACAAGTTGTTGAACCATCAACATTGTTGCAACTTGTTGACAATCATGTTAACAACTTGCAACAGTACTGATGGTTGAACAACTTGTTAACAATATTGTTCACAGGGTGCAGCACAACATTGTTCACTCCTGTTTGAACAACGCCGAACAACCTGATCAATTTTTACCCGTGTAGCCTATAGACTATTTATTTTTACAACAATTGTGATATTACTTTCCTAACTATGTTTTATCCTAACCCACCCTGTCAACTTTCCCTGTGGGAGGAAACCAGAGCGCCCAGAGAAAACCAACGACTTTCGGCAGAGCGTTGACTAACTTTTTTCACGTGAGTCCACACATGGGTCCATAACGACAATTGAATCCACGATCTCAGAGGTGAAAGGCATTCGCTCTTACGACTGTGCTCCGGAAGTCCCCAACAGAAAGCTATGGATTGAGAGGGATTCAAAACCTGAAAAAGACATTTAAATAAATGTCCCAATTGTTTTTTTCTTCATTCAAAGTGACTCGTAGTAAAGACGTTGATCTTGCAAAGAAACAGACGTCAAGAACTGTCTTTCGATGTAACGTAATTGGTCCTCCTGGTTCGGGCAGGGTAGATATCGTCCATCACCAGGGAGTCTTTTCTTAGTTGCTGCATGGAGTGGTCTACGGTATTAACACACATAAAAATCTCACAACTTGTCAACAAGATGTGTTCGCAACAGGCTTGTAGCAAGCTTGTCAACAAGTTGTAACAATGTTGTTATTTTATCAAGTTGCTACAAGGTTGTCACTCGCAACTTGTCAACAAGATGTGTTCGCAACAGGCTTGTAGCAAGCTTGTCAACAAGTTGTAACAATGTTGTTATTTTATCAAGTTGCTACAAGGTTGTCACTCACAACTTGTTGACAAATTGTTGAATTGCAGGACGATAACAAGTTGTTGGAAGTAACAAGTCATTATTATTACAAAAATCTTTACAGAGGGTAAAACATTTCAGTGCACAAGACACTGTTGAGTCTGTTGAGCTCAACCACCTTGCAGCAAGTTGTCAACAAGCTGGGAACAAGCAGTGCGAACACATCCTGTTGACAAGTTGTTGGAACAGCATTACTACAAGTCTGCTGCAACTTGTGCGTTTTTACGTGTGTGTCGATCGAAATACATGCAGTGGCAGGTTTAACTCATCGGTAAACGACAACCGTGTTAAATAGGAGCCTTGGTCTCATTTAATTCTAATGCTGAAATTAATCTTGCTGTACTTTCGTTGCAGACTGCATTTCTACAAGGCCATGTGAACAGAAGCTTAGAGGTGAACATCTAATTTACAATAATTAAACCACTACGTTGTACTCAATTCTAGAATTGAATATATTCGTCAAGTCAAAAAAGATCCCACCGCTACGAAATTTACAATTAATACTGCTGAGGTGAACAAACATGAAAAATATCTAATTGTAAGTAATTGTATTAAATATAAAATTAAATTTAATTAGCCTTCTGCCAAAAGAGATCACAGTGCATTCTGGGATCGTTTGGAGGGACAAAATATGTGAAAGATTAGAAGTATCTATACTATCAAATATCAACTTTTTAGACGACCAAAAATGAAATATCTCCTTTTTACATAAAACTTTTAATTTAAATGTGTGCTGCCATATTTCCCGTCCCTCGAACATGCATGGGATTTGGGCGACTAGACCCAGGACTTTGGGAAATGGCTAATAACAAGCTGCACGTAAGTGATTTTGTAAGGAAACTAGGAGGTAGTTTTTATATTTGTTTCTTTCATTCTTGCACTTTCTTTAGTTATGTGAAATTGCGTGGAATCAAATTGACAATGAATTACTAAATAGCAAGAAATGTGATGTCATTTGCTTTCTCTACGATCAATCTGATCCGAACTCCTTTTCCAAAGTTCTGGAACTACATGAGGTACTGTACTGACCTGCATGAGATACTGTAATGACCTGCATGAGATACTGTACTGACCTACATGAGGTACTGTAAACTGATTGAAGGCTGACGGATATGTTTTCTCCACATACCATAACAATTATTACATGAAATAATGTCTTTACAGAACGTGTTGTCTGGTGTGCCGTGTTTGTTCGTTGCGACAAAAGCAGATCGTCCTGTTGTTCAACAGGTAGTCGTACTCGTTCATAATTTCTGTTGTACTGCTACGTACCTGTATACACAATGTAATCTTGCCTGTAATATACGATATACCGTTCGTTCCTACCTTGAACCTCCTGATGAAAGATCGCTCGAAATTTAGAGTATTTTGCAGTAGTTCAGAAACAGATCATGCCATAGTGCACAAACTGTCGTTTTTTAACTTTTCAGAATTGCGAAGTACAACCATCAATGTACTGCACTCTCAATAATCTCCCAGAGCCAGTGGTAA